CGTGTTTGAACGGAGCAACGTGTATCAATACAGTTGGTTCTTACAAATGTCTGTGTAATCAGTATACTAACGGAACACGATGCGAACATGACATCGATGAATGTAAACTAAAATCCTGTCTATGTCAAAATGATGGACATTGCCGAAACTATGTATACCCACACAAATACGTGCCGACTGGGGAAATCATTGGGTTTCTGTGCTTGTGTGCTCCTGGATTTCAAGGTAATTAAACATTCTGTGATCTCTCCTATGATACAGCGAAACAAACCGTTATTTAGATAATAATGTTATTAGGTGAAAAGATATTCATTAATATTTACTTGTATTCGAAGATCATTTCTAATGTTTTTTTTTTTTGCCTATTGCGTCTAGGAACCTTGTTGAACGCTAAATCTCAGATCTTTCGAGGAATTTAATTCAGTGATATGATAAAGATTTAAAAGAATGAAACACAACACTGTAAAATTTAAATGATGTTTGTTTAATTCTGTTTATTGTACGTGTTTTGTTATAATTTCAATTGTTTTGTTTAGTTCTTACTTTTATACATGTTTTCTAATCGCGCATGACAAATTTTATGCAGGGAAATATTGTGAAGACAATATAGACGACTGTGCACTTAATAAGGATCCTTGCGAGAATGGTGCTATATGTATAGACAGAGAAAATGACTATTCCTGTAAATGTACCGCGGGATGGCAGGGAAAGAACTGTGATCAAGACATCAACGAGTGTTCGTTAGGATACTGTAAGAACAATGGCACGTGTGTTCATGGGATTGGTCATTATAACTGTACATGTTTAAGTGGTTTTAATGGTACCCAGTGTGAGAATAACATCGATGACTGTCCATCCCATGGCTGTTATAATGGTACTTGTATCGATGGTATTAATGATTACACGTGTCAGTGCTACAGTGGATTTAACGGGAAACATTGTGAAAACGAGATCAACGAGTGTCTTGATAGTAAGTTATACAACTTGTATTGGCATCATAAATATTTTTTGTCATTCGATACGTTCCCACAATTCCTATCGACCTCAGATTTCCATTTTCGATATCAACTGAATAACACGTTGTCATTATTCTTCAGGTTCATCGTGTTTGAACGGAGCAACGTGTATCAATACAGTTGGTTCTTACAAATGTCTTTGTAATCAGTATACTAACGGAACACGATGCGAACATGACATCGATGAATGTAAACT